CTCCCAAGGAGGGAATTATCATATCATCTCCATGCAGATGTATCCTAGTTCTATAAAGTAGCAAGGTATCTTGAGGGAGAGATAGGAGGAAGCATGTTTCAGGTAAGTGAAACCACCACCACTTTGACCAGCATCTCCCCTTATACTCTAATGGTAATAAGGGAAGGAAATAACCATTTACATAGTGTCTATATACCAAGAACTATGCTAAGCACTTTTTACAGTTACCACATTTAATCTGTGAGGTGGGTTTTATTATGATTCCTATTTTACAGTTGAGGAAACTGAAGCAAACAGAGGTTAAGTGACTTGCGCAGGATCACATAGCTAGTAAATGTCTGAGGATAGATTTGAACTCAGGGCTTCCTGACTCCAGGTTCAGTGCTCTATCCACTGGGCTACCAGCTGCTTCCAAATAGCCCAGGCCCTTGAAGCCAAGTGCCTTATGAATAGCAGTGCTCCCCATACCACCAGACCTGCTTCTAGCCTAGCCCTTGAACCTATCATTGAGGACAAAATCATTGCAGAGGAAGGGCTCACTTTCCTAATTATCAGGAGCAAGAAGTGCTGACCAAAACTGCCACCAACAGGCAGATGAGGACAAGAGCCTTGGTCATGGCATCATGTCATTGGTCCTGAAAACATTCCAGTTCTCATAGAAATCACTTCCTGTGGAGAAAGGGACACTCATCTCCATCAACTATCAACCAAGTGCCCTACAAATGGTAGGTGAAGTCACTGGGCACCGTCTGGGAGAGACAGGAATCGGCATGTGCCAGGCAAACCACCACCACAGTAATGACCACTATCTCCCACTGGAGATATCCTAGGCCCCTGAATCCAAGAGTCATGAGGATAACAGGGCTTCCAGCACAGTGCCTTCAGCCATCATCCTAGGAAGCAACCCTCGTGTAGCTGCAATCTGGCAACTGCCCCTTCAGGTGCTACAGCCACAGCTACTCAAGACCCATCAAAGAAAGGTCTTGTCAACAATGCTGAGCAGTTTGGAGGCAAGATCTTTCTTTGATGGGTCTTGAGTCCTCAGCATTGTTGGCATCAGAAACTGATATGATTTTATTAGTGGAAATAACATTGAAAAAGAAGAATTAACATCTGCTTTGCAGCTGCACCATAAGGACCATGGACCTTTCCATTTGACCTGAAGTGGATCCCTTCCATATATGAGTTCCTTGAGAGGAAGGACTGTCTTAGTTTTCTCTTCATATCTGTGGTGCTTTGCATATATTAATTGCTTAATAATAAATGCTATGTCCAGGCCTCATCTCTCTCTCTCTTGAGTTCTACTGCCACATCATAAATTCCATATTGAACATTTTCATTTTTATGTTCTATAGGCATCTCAAATTTAACATGTTCCCAAAATAGCTCCTATCTTTTCTCTCCCCAAACCTATCCCTCTTCCTAACTTTCCTGTTTATACCATTATCCTTCTAGTCAATTGAGTTTGAAACCTTGTAGTCACGCTCAACCCTTTATGCGTCCTCACCTTGGCTATCCATTTAGCTGCCTCAAGTCTTGTTGATTCTACCTGCACAAACCATCACATTTCTGAGCCCTTTTCTCCACTCACACAGTTTTCACTCTGACTCAGGCACTTATCATCTGGATTATTGTTGCTCAGTTGTTTTAGTTGTGACTCTTCATGACCCCATTTGGGATTTTCCTGGCAGAGATACTGGAGTGGTTTTTCATTTCCTTCTCCAGCTCATTTTACAGATGAGAAAATTGAGGCAAACAGGGCTAAGTGACTTGCCTGGGGTCACACAGCTAGTAAGTGTCTGAGGCCAGATTTGAACTTAGGTCTTCCTGACTCTAGGCCTAGCGCTCTACTCACTGTACCACCTAGCTGCTAGTTATTGCAATAGCTTATTAATTCATCTACCTGCCTCAGTCCATCTTCCATAGTTTCCATAGTCTGACTATGTCACTCTCCTGCTCCATAAGTTTTGATAACTACCTATTGCCTCTAAGATAAAATATTTTCCTTCCTTTATTTTCCTTCCTTCCTTCCTTCCTTCCTTCCCTCCTCTCCCTCTGTCCACACAGGGAATCACACCCTTACCTACAGGTACTCTACCCAAAGGAATATAAATTTTGATCACTGAAACCTCACAAGATCTTGGGGTTTACAGGTTAGATTTCTTTTTTAAGGACCATGCCTTAAACCTAAATCAATCTGGCTCTCACTGATTGGCCAACAATAGGTCCCAACCCAAGCCTCACTAGGTAGGATTTGAATCAAGTCTTGAAGGAAACCAGGAAAATGGAGGCAGAAGCTAGGAAGAAAAGAATTCTAGGCAAAGAGAAGACAGCCAGTACAAAGTACAAATTGAGCGTTAAATGTGAGGAACCACAAGTAGGCTGTATCCCAGGCAGAGATTCCCAAAGTAGGTGACACCATCCCCTGGGGGGCACTGGACTGATCTAGGGAATCTGTAATAGTCTCTGGTGTAATTGGGGTGCGTTGAATAAAAATAAGGGGGAGGTGGAAGCATAAGGAAAGAAGAGAAGAGGAGAAAGTTTTGAAAAACTGTGTGTACTTATTTCATCTGTTGTGTAGTGATTACATTGTTTTCCAAATAAACACACGAAATGCAAGTTATAACTGATCAGGTTTAGACCACTGACAGGTCTTAACAAGCAAATGTTGGCAAGTGAACATGTCACGCATTATTGGGAAGTCCAGCACACATCAGCAGAAATATATGCACGTTATAACTTGTTTACACTATGATCCTATACAGTTACATGACACAATATTGCATCATCAAAATTTCAATATAGGAAAAACCCACAAATTTATAATAAATTATTAAATTTAAGATGTATCATTTAAAAAATACATATTTCATACTTTTTGAAATGATGCAAATTTTTAAAAAAAATCTGTTAAATGTTTAAAGAAAGTAGATTTCCAGAGGGGCACTGAGTAATTTTTTTTTTTTTGCAGAGGGGGAGGTAGGCCAAATAAGTTTGGGAACCTTTGTCCTAGAATGTGTGTGGAAGGGAATGATGTGTTAGAAGATAGAAAAGATAGAAGGGGGTCAGGTCATCAAGAGCTCTAAATGTCAAATAGAAGAATTAATATTGGATCCTAGAGGTCACAGGAAATTGTTGGAGTTTACTGAGTAGAGAGGTGACATGGTCAGACCTATGTTTTGGGAAAATCACTTTGGCAGCTGTATGGAGGATGGATTGGAGCGGGGAAAGACTTGTGGCCTAGAGTTGTATTACAATTAGTACAGGTGAAAGGAGATGAGACCTGAACGAAGGTTGTGGCTGTGTAAGTGGAGAAAAATGAACATATACAAGATGTCAAGAAAGAAATTACAAGATCTGGCAACTGATTGGATAACTGGAAGGGGTAAGAGAGAGGATGACATTGAGATTGTGAACACTGAGGGGATGGTCATACCCTCAGCAGTAATAGGGAAGTTTGGAAGGGAATAGGTTGCTTTTTTGTGAGGGGAGGGAGGAAAAAATAAGTTCTGTGTTAGAACTGTTGAGATTGAGAGGCCTGTAGGACATCCAATTTGAAATACCCCATAAGAAGCTGATAATAAAGAACTGGAGCTCAGAAGAGAGATTGGCACTGGAAAAATAGATATAGCTCATGAAAATGGGAAAAGGACCCCCATGTACAAAAATATTAATAGCAGCTCTTTTTGTGGTGGCAAAGAATTAGAAATCGAGGGGATGCCCATCAATTGGGGAATGGCTGAACAAATTGTGGTATATGAATGTAATGGAATACTATTGTGCTATAAGAAATGATGAGTAGGCAGACTTCAGAAAAACCTAGAAAGACTTGCATGAACTGATGCTGAGTAAAGTGAGCAGAACCAGGAGAATGTTGTACTTAGTAATAGCCATGTTGTGTGATGACTAATTTTGATAGACTTAGCCCTTCTCAGCAATGCAAGGATCTAAGACATCTCCAAAAGTCTCATGATGGAAAATGCTATCCACATCCAAAGAAAAAACTATGGAGTTTGAATGCAGATTAAAGTGTACCATATACTCTTTTTTTTTCTTCTGTTTTGTTTTGTTTCCTCTTTCTTGTGGTTCCTTCTATAGGTTCTAATTCTTCCTTACAACATGACTAATGTGAAAATATGTTTAATAGGAATGTATATGTATAGCCTATATCAGATTGTGCACCATCTTAGGGAGGGAGGGGGAGAAAATTTAAAAATCAAAAGCTTATGGAAGTGATAGTTGATAAATCAAAAGAAATTAATAAAAAAAAGAAAAAAGAAAAAGAAACATAGGGATTCATTCTCTTGGGCGGATACAACTATGCACAGATAATTAGATACAAGATTATTTGAAGAGTGTGGGGCAGCTTGAGTGATCCCTGACCCCACGATAGGGGAAAGAAGCAGAGAAAGTTCCATAAAAGAGGTGGCACCTAAGGTAAACCTTGAAGGAAGGTAAGTATTCCGGGAATGCTTTTCAGCCATGGGGGCTGGCCTCAGACACGTGCCCTGGGTAAGTCATTTAATCTTTTTAAAACTTAGTTTCCTCCTGTGTAAAACGGGAATAATATTTATAATTCCATAGGTTTCTGTGGATGAAATAGAATAATGTCCACGGAACCTCTGGCAAACCTTGAAGCAATATATATAGTCAGCTTTTGTTTTCAGCTGTTGAGTTTTTTGTTTGTTTTTTGACCTGGACTGATTTTATTGGGGTAGAGAACTTATCAAAGAAGAAAATCTCCTACCAAAGCAGATCACTCACTGTTCTGCCACATAAGAGAGTTACTATTGTATTGTCATTGTTCTTGTTATAGGTCTTCTTATCATGGTGTTGGAGCAACATTTCCTGTTACGTTCCCTGATTTATTCTCCATAGAACGGTCACTGCTGTGTTTCAAGACTCTGCTCTGAGGCTTTAAGGTGGGGAGCAGGGGGACAGGAAGGAGGGGGAAGGAGGGGAGTGGTACAAGATCAATGGTAAGTAAAAGGTATACAAACCTGCCTGCTTCCCCAGATCTTTGAAGGTTTTTCTTCCAGCTCTCAGCACCCCCAGATTCATGGGAAGGGTTATAAAGATTTAATCAGCTACAAGATTGGGAGAGTAAGATAAAGGTATTAACATTCATTAATGTGTTACTGCCAAGCCAGATGATTTAGGCCAACTCTGACATTTTCCTGCCTACCCCCACTGTCCCATGCCTACGTCCATAATTGTAATGTTTACCTCTGCCCTTTCTTATTGCAGGATCTTACATTTTAGAGTTGAAAAGGACTGTGAAGTTTCCACCCTTTCCTTTTAAAGATGAGGATCTAAGGCCTAGAGATGCAGAAGTGGCATTTAAATCCAAGATCTCAGATTCTAAAGTAATGATTCTGAATCCGGGGCCAAAGGATACCAGATAGATTTCAGACAATTTGTGAATTTAGATAGGTTTTGTTTACATCTTTATTTTCACTAATCTCTAGTTGAAATGGATAATTTCCTTCAATTATTTAAAAACATTATTCTGAGAAGGAAGAGGTCCATGGTCCACCGAAAAGGTTAAGACCTTGGGCTCCAAGTTGAGTCTTCTTTCCAGTAGACACACTAAGCCCCAACCCCTTTTTGGTAAAGCATTGATGGTGGGGAGAAGGGTGAAGGGTTCTTGGGAGTTTGAGAAAATTGTGTGGCAGTAAAGACCCAACCAGTGGTCTAGCTCTCTTTAGAATGCCCACAATTACAAACGCCCCTTCTGACATGCCTCATAAAAATGGCAAATTATTGAAGTGTTTGGAGTTTATAATATAATGGGGAGGAAAGGGGATCACTAGCTCTGGAATCAAAGAACCTGGGTTTAGATCCTACATTTGATGTTTATTTCTTGTGTGACATTGGGGAAGACTTATAACTTCTCTGTCTCAGTTTCCTCAAATGTAAAATGAGATCTACATGGCCTTTGAGGTTCCTTCCTGCTTGTGATCTCTCTCTCTCTCTTTTTCTCTCTCTCTTCTCCTTTCTCTCTCTCTCTCTCCCCCTCCTCTCCTCTCCTCTCTCTCTCTTTCTCTCCCTCCTCTCCTCTCTCTCTCTCTTTCTCTCTCTGTCTCTCTCTGTCTCTCTTTCTCTCCTCGCTTTATGCATTTGTATATGCATATTATGTATGTAGCAATGTAGTAGACTGGATACAGATCCGACCTTCAAACCAAAAAGACTTGCTGGGTATCAGGTTACCTAACTTTCAGAAGCATATATACCTATTTAAAGTCCTTTATTATCTGGCTCCCATCTACCTTTCCAGTTTTATTTCATATTACTCTCCTTCTTATACTCTCTATTTCACTCAAACTGGTCTGAAAGCTATTTCCCATACATAATCAATCAACCAATTATTAAACATTTATTAAGTGCTGACTATGCGCCAGGCACTATGCTAAATACTGGGGACACAAAAAGAGGCAAAAGACAGTCCCTGCCCTCGAAGAGCTCACAATCTAATGAGGAGACAACATGCAAACAAATATATACAAACAAGCTATAGAGAGGATACATAAGAAAAAATTAACTGAGGAGAGATACTAGAATTAAGAGATGCTGGGAAAAGCTTCCTGTAGAAGCTTTTAGTTGGGATTTTAGTTGGGACTTAAAGGAAGCCAGGGAAGGCAGTGAGATAGTAATATTCCATCTGCTTCCATGCCATGGCAGTCCCCTTGTGCCTGGAACTTCCCTTCAAAGAATCCCTAATCTTCTTCTGGAGGTCTTTTCTGACTCCCTCCCTCACCTCCTTCCCCACTTTTAACTATCAGAACATTTTCCCTCTTGCAATTACTTTGGATATGTTTTGAATTTATACATGTTATATCCCTGAACTGTAATCCACAAGTTCCCAAAGGCAGTGACTGTGTTTTTTTGTTTGCTTGCTTGTTTTTTGCCTGTTTCCCCAATGTCTACCCCAATGCCTTGAGCATGATAAATATTTTTTGAATTGAATTGAAATTAAGGTTTTGCAGTGGAGCATGTGACTTGAGTTGGGACACTGAAGAAAGAGACTTCCAACTCAGGGAAAATAGGGAGGTCTGTGGGGAGGAAAAAGATAAGTAAATTGGAGCCAGATTGTGAAGGAGCCTGGATGCTAGGGGTCAGAATTTTAAATGTTATTCAATAGGCAATAGGGAGCCATGGAAAATCTTTGAGTACAGGAGATGATATGGCTGTTAGGAAGATGAATTGGTTTTTTTGCATGCATTTTGCGTGATTGAAGAGAAAGTAGATTGGATGTAAGGAAATCAGGTAAGATATTTATTTATAATCATTCAGGTGAGAAGAAAGGAAACCTAATTTGGATGTTGCAGGGAAAGTGGCATGGGATGTGGGATTTCAGGAGGAACAAAAGGACTTGGCAACTGATTGGATGTGGGTGTGTATGTGGAGTGGAGTGGGGACAGGAGACAGAGTGTGGAGTCCAAGATGACTCATTTGATTTCTGAACTGGTGACCCACTGGATGGTATGCCATCTGCAGATACAATAAAAGGCAGGAATGGAAATAGGGTAGAGTGGAGGAAAGAATATAAGGCAGTTTTGGAAATATTAATTTCAGGGATTGGGAAATATTCGGAAATGTGCAACAGTCAGTTTTATCCATCTCAATTAGGCAATGTAGGATTAACATGCTAGATTGTGAGTTCAATTGTGGGGCTCCCCATTAGAATTTCAAAATCAGAAGAGACTTTAGGGATTTTCTAGTCTGAGGGTTGTTAAACATTTTTTTTTTTATATACCATAAACCCCTTTGGTAGACTGATGAAGCCTGTGCACCTTTTCTTAAAATAAGGGTTTTCATTGCATAAAATACATATGATAACTTCTATACAGTTGTCTACAAATTAACAACCTTTTCTTTTTTTAATCACAGAACCCAGGTTAAGAACTCCAGATCTGATTCAACTTCCTTATTGTACAGAAGAGGAAACGGAACCCAAGAGAGTGCTTGGCTTACCTAGTTTGACACGGGTAGTGAGTAGCAGATTGGAGATTCAAGCCAACTCCAGCCCCAGTGACTTGTCCTCTCTAAGATGCTAGACACAAAGCAGAGGCAAGATAAATATTTGTTGAATTAAATTGAATGTGAAAATTGGGAGGGTCGCTCAGAGTCATCTCATTTGGGCTCCTCCCAGGTCCTGCTGAGGGGTGGAGTGAGGAAGGGTAGGAGTCCCAGAACAAGAAATACCAGTCCCAATATTGGCACCATCTGGTCCCAACTTTTGGTCCCATCTTAAGTCACTTGATCCCAGAAGCCTCAGTCTAAGAATGGTCCTGGGAGTTTGCCAAGGAGATCCAGACACCTTTGTTCCTGGAGGAGGCATGGGCTGGTGCCCAGATTTCTGGGTTCCTGAAAGCACTCAGTAGGCTTGGATGTTGGGAGCTGGGGGTCTTGATGCCTGGGGATCTATGAAGGCTTAAGATACCTGGATCCCTCAGGGGTGGGGGCTATGGACCTGGATGCCCAAGTCCCTGAAAGGGTGGTAGTTGGGACATCAAAAGCCTGTGATCCCAAAATGGGGCACAACCCCCGGATCTCTATGGTGACTTACACCAAGGTACACCTCGTTGGGGTGGAGGATGCAGGAGATCTGAGGAAACCCAAGGCTTACCTGGTTGGTTGCTCTTACAGCGGCAGTCTTGAGAGAAAGGAGTCTAGCCTCTAAGCTTCCTGATCACGTATACAAAGTCCAGATGCCTAACACCAGCTGCTCAGAGCTGCCCCACCCCTTCATCTGCCCAACCCCTCCCCTCCATATACACACACATACATCCTGGGAAAGGCTGGCTGAATGCCTGTGTCTTGGGGAGGAAATAAGGGAACCCATCCTTTATACACTCCCTGATCTTATACCCCCCCTTTCAGGAAATTCCACCTCTACATTCTACCCGAAACCCTGGTCTCAAGGGGTTTTAGGACCACTGCCCTTAGTCTTTTAGGATCCCAGATGTGGGTCCCAGCCCACACTCCTTCAGAGAGTATGGTCTCTGAGGGGACTCAGGAATGATTGTAAAGGGGGTATTCCAGTGTACCATATATCTTGACCCCACTGAATCAGGCCTATGGGGACCAAGAGGAAACCACCATACCCTGTACCTTTGAGAGAATGGCTCAGATCATCCATGAGACAGTTACATGGAGACCTAAAGGGAAAGGAGTAGGAGGGGATATGAAAAGGAAAAAATCTAGGATTTTAATTCTACTTTTTCCATTATACGACTTTGAGGGGAATTCTTTTTTTCCCCCTGGCCTCAGTTTCTCCTATATAAAATTGGATGGGGTATTGGACTCCTAGATCTCAATGTCTTACCTGACCTGACCTAATGACTCCCTGACTTGAAAGTCACACAGCACAGAGTAGGTCAGGTGTTTCCAGAGTTTACCAGGCAGAAGCCTCAGGTATGACTCTGGAAATGTTTCCAGGGCTTAAATCAAGGTAACATACTTAGTGACAGATATATATCTTTGTCTTGATGCCAATTCAGTGTTCCAAAGCACTGGCCAAGTTCTTGGGTGCCTGATGCAACTCAGGCTTGGGACAGCAAAAGAACCGAATGGGAATTTGGCTCCCATCTAGGGTTTTCCTCAAGTTCTGGGGAGATTTAGAGATCTGGAAGGGATCTCAGTGGTGCTATGGAGTGATTCATACATGAATAGAAACTTAATATACCTGACTAGTGGTAGTCTGGAGCCTTGGGCTGGAGATCTAGAAACCCAGACTCTGGTCTTGGCTCTACCTTGTTGTCACTGTGTGACCCTGTATTTACTCCCTTCTGAGCCTCAGTTTCCTCCTATGTACAATGGGTAGGTTGAACTAAATTTCTAAAGTCTCTTGAGATTATGCAATTTTAGACTCATTGGGTCCCCTTCTTGCGTCTTAATTTTCCCTTTCGTACAACATGCAGGCTCAATTGAATCTTTCTCTACCCATTCTGTGGTCATCAACCTAAAAAGAGCCACACTAGACCTGGAATTCCCATAGCCAAGCAATCCCCAACTACATCTCACCATCTCCATGCTTAACTAACCTGGACCGAGTCATTCCAGTAAGGCCACCCCCCCCCCCCATTCTTTGCCTCCATTCCTGGCAGAAGTCATTCCCTGTCTTTCAGCTTCTGCCTGGCTGGGCCATCTTCCCACTCCTTTTCTCTCTATTTCTACCCATTTTTTGACATTGTTGACCACCACCTTTTCCTGGAAGCTCTCTATCCTCTCTTGCTTCCATAACATTGCTCTCCCCTGGTTCTACTACCTATATGGTGGTTCTTCCCTGTTAATCTCCTTTTCATGATCATCATTCATGTTCCATTTTAGAACTAGGGGATGGGTGTCCCTCAAGGCTCTGGCCTAGGTTTCCTTCTTTTTGCCCTCTGTATCCTCTCTCTTGATGATCTCATCAGTTCATGTGGATTTAATTATCAGCCCAATGCAGATCTATAAATCTAGCTAAAACCTCTTTATTTCCAGCTCTATATGCTTGCTGGACATCCCCAACTGGATGTCTCACTGACATCTTTCTTGATTTATTAGCTTTACTTATGTTTGTGATATTAAAAGTAAAACTGGGTGGACCCCCTGCTTTCCAGAATGATTTCTTATTACTTCATTGTACTCTGTGTTCCAACCAAATTGTACTTCCTGATATTTCCACAATAGGACATTTTACTTCTTGTTTCTACACATTTGTGCAGGCTGCTCTTGTCTGGAACACTCTCCTTTCTCACTTCTACTTCTTAGAATCCCTAGCTTCCTTCAAGGCTCAAATCAAAGTGCAACTTTCCTTATGAATCCTATCTTGTTTCCTTAAGTTGTAAGCACTCTCCAACCCACCCTAAATTACACACACACACACACACACACACACACACACATAGATATATGTATGTATGTATGTGTATGTATATATGTGAGTGTGTACATATATATGTATATATATATGTATTTATGTATGTATATATAGTGGGCAGGGGCACTCTCAACTCACATAGTGAGACCTGAGAGAAGGGTATCTACCCTGAGCTCAAAGTACTCTATGGATTTATGCCCACTTAAGACCATAATTTATGAGCTCTGATCAGTTTGTTTGTTTTTAATAATCAGCCCATGGACACAATTAGTTCAAAGCAAAGACATAATGAAATGGCACAGGAAAATAAACCTCAGGCATATTCTCCCACAAATACACATGCCATCATTGGGAAGGTTGGACACATATAGGTAACACTTGTGGAGGGCAACACTGGCTTTCTTGCTGTTCCTCATACTCAAAGCTCCATTTCTGCACTCCCATTAGCTGTCCTCCATGCCTGGAATGCTATCCTTTCTCACCAGGTAAATCTTATATATGTACATGATTATTTGCTCTTTGGTTCCTCCATTAAGATGTGAGATCCTTGAGGGTAGGGACTCTGTTTTTGCTTTTCTTTATATCCTCAACACTGAGCATCGTACCTTGAATACAGTCAATGCTTAATAATTGTGTGATGATGATGATGATGATGATGATGATGATGATGATGATGACAGGCACATGTGTAAGGAACATGCGAAAACAGCTACAAGCAAAGCCTCAAAGAAAAATGCTAATTAGGCTCAAGTTCAATAAGAATTCCTGGAAAAGTTAAAGAAAGAGATAAGAGTAGTTGAGGAAAAATTGGGAAAAGAAATGAGAGTGATGCAAGAAAATTATGAAAAGAGAATTAACAACTTGATAAAAGGAGCACAAAAAATACTGAAAAAAATAACACCTTAAAAAAAAGAAAACAGAATTGGCCCAGTGGTAAATGAGGAACAAAAATTCACTAAAGAAAAGAACCTCTTAAAAAGTAGAATTGGCCAAATAGAAAATGAGGCACAAAAGCTCATTGAATAAAATAATTCCTTAAAGGTTAGAGTTGGGCAAGTGAAAGGTAATGACTCCATGAGACACCAACACATAATAATACAAAGTCAAAAGAATGAAAAAAATAGAAGAAAATGTGAAATATCTCATTAGAAAAACAAGTAACCTGGAAAACAGATCAAGGAGATATAATTTAAGAATTATTGGATTAGCTGAAAGCTATGATAAAAAAAAGAGTCTAGACATTATATTTCAAGAAATTACCAAAGAAACTGCCCCCAATATCTTAGATCTGGAGGGTAAAATAGAAATTGAAAGAAACCATCAATGACCTCCTGAAAGAGATCTCAAAATGAAAACTCCCAGGAATATTATAGACAAATTCTAGAGCTTGCAGGTCAAGGAGAAAATACTTCAAGCAGCCAGAAAGAAACAATTCAAATATCATGGGGGCCACAGTCAGGATCACACAAGATTTAGCAGCTACCACATTCAAGAAGCAGAGGGCTTGGACTATGATATTCCAGAAGGCAAAGGAGCTGGGATTACTAACAAGAATAACCTAACTAGCAAAACTGAGTATAATCCTTCAGAGGGAAAAATGGATATGTACTGAAATAGAGGACTTTCAAATATTCCTGATTAAAAAACCAGAGCCGAATAGAAAATTTAGCATTCAAGCACAAGACTCAAGAGAAACATAACAAGGTAAATACAAAAGAGTTATATAAGGTATATAATAAAGTTAAAGTATATAATAAAGGTATATAAGGCATATAATAAAGTTAAACTCTTTACATTCCTATGTGGTAAGATAATGCATGTAACTCCTAAGGACTTCATCATTAGTAGGGCAGTTAGGAATCTACATAGACAGAAGGCACAGGTACTGAGTTGATTATGTTGGGATGATCGCTAAAAAAAAATGAAGGGGTGAGAAAGAGGGATGGATGAGGAAAAGAGGGAAGGGAGAGGTAGAATGGGGAAATTTTTCTCACATAAAAGAGGTGCACAAGGAAGAATTTTATAGTGGAGGGGGAATTGGGGGTGATGGTGGCAGGCAATGCTTGAACCTTACTTTCATCAAAATGGGTTCAAAGAGGAAAGAATAAGTATCCACACTCAGTTGTGTATAGAAATCCATCTTACCCAACAGGGAAATGAAGAGGAAGAGGATGAGACACTGGGTAGGTGGGAATGATAAAAGGGAGGGTGGATTAAGGAAGGCAGTTGTCAGAAGCAAAACAGACTTTTGAGGAGGGAAAGGATAAAAAGAGAAAATGATAACCAGAAGAAAAAATGATGGACAGAAATACACAGTTAGTAGTCATAACTGTGAATGTGAATGGAATGAGTTCACTCATAAAATGGAAGCAGATAGCAGAATGTAGTAGAAACCAGAATTCAACAATACATTGTTCATAAGAGACAAACTTATAGGGAGCAGCTAAGTGGCACAGTGGATAGAGCACTGGTCTTGGAGTCAGGAGGACTTGAGTTCAAATCCAGCCTCAGACCAGACACTTGACACTTAACTAGTTGTGTGACCCTGGGCAAGTCACTTAACCCCAGTGGCCTCACCAAAAACAAAAACAAAACCATAAGAGACAAACTTCAAACAGAGAGACACACATAGAGTAAAAAGTAAGGGGCTGGGGCAGAATCTATTATGCTTTAGCTGAGGTAAAAAAGGCAGGGGTAGCAATTATGATCTCAGACAAAACAAAAACAAAAATAGAGATTAAAAAAAGATAATCAGGGAAACTACATTTTGCTAAAAGGTACTTTAGACAATGAAATAATATAAAACTTTTTTACAGTAAGTTTCTCTGATAAAGGCCCCATTTCTCA